GGCCAACCTTAGATGGCAACTGATCAAAGTACTTGATCAAGTGGGTATGGAACTGAAGATGGTCCCGAGTTTACTTAATTGGGACGGGTCCAATTGGATGTAGAACAAGAATGCCTTTTACTGGACCAACAAGCAATTGATAAGCCTAAAGAAAGTTTCACTTGTTTATTCAGATAATCTATTCACAAGATCAAAAGCTAAAGCCCTTAAGAAATCACTTGGACTCCTAATCAATTTCATACAAGACAAAGACAAGCTTAAGGCTTATGAGAAAAAGGTTGGGTCGATAGGTTGATACAACCTTATGGTTGCCAGGAGTTGGACTAAAGGTCCAAAACCCATTAAGTGTAAGATTAGTTAGCATAATCCTAGATGGCTTTGGTTTTGGTGTTTTCCTTTTTTTGTGTGTGTTTTAGATAATGATCAATTAGGTTGGGCGGTTTAGTTTAGGTGGTTTTAGTTCTCTTATTTATATTTATCCTGTAATATTTCCAAAGCACACAACACATAATCTAAAGCTTTTGCAAACAAACTCTCACGAGTTTTTATACCTCTTATTCATCTTTGAGTATCTATCATTCAATCACCAGATGTTAACTCTATTACTTACGTGAATACCATCAGGCATCATCCTATACAAGGTTACACTTTTAGATCACCGGAGCTAAATAACCCAAGGAAAGTCCATAGTCCTTGTGTGAAGAAACCACACAATGAACATGATCTAATCGCCTAGTTCCCATCAAACTCATCATCAAATCGTACCAAGACCTTGAGTTCTAGTAGTCTCGCGGTATAAACCATCATCTTCAAGTGATCCGGACGTGTACACCTATCCAAGGTCGTATCAAGTGGTATCAGAGAAACTCTAAGAGTATTAGGGTTTTTGTTTCGTGCTCAGTCACACCCATCTCATCTTTTCTGCCTATCTAATATTAGTCAGATTGAACCAACCTATTTGATATAAAAAAGAGACAAAACTCAAAAGAAAGAAAGACTGAGGCGAAATCTAGACGGCTAAGGAGAAATTCAGTCAAGTTGGTTAAAGCGGTCTGATGAGAAAAATTTTGCAATCTATATATCTACTTCATGTAAGAGTTAGGGTTTTCTAAGGTGATTGGGAATTTTCCTCACTGATGACTATAGAAGGCACTGTTGTTGTAAGAGTTCTTTCCTTTTCTTTTGTTTCTTTTTTACTTTAGTTTCCTATTTGCTTTTGGGGTTTTTTTTCTTTGTGTTTTCTTGTTTTAAGATGTAATCGGTAATTATGGCGGATGAAAGAGCTGGTGAACCCCATAGTAGTCCACCGGCCCAACGCTTCCTCCTCGACCAACTACAATTCGAAGCTATGCTTGGTGATCTAGAAAGACAGCTTCAGGGACATGCTGAACGTATTTATGCTAACATTATACCACCTGGGGATGTTAATGCTGCAAGTAGGGTTATAGCACCAGGAGAACATAATCCACTTCGAGCTAGACGGATGGGACCAGGGGATCTCGATTATGCAGCAGACGAGGAACACGAGGGACGACTAAATAGACCCAATCAAAGGCAAGCACAAGCTGACGAAAACCTTGGAAACCTCAAGCTACGGATTCCTCCCTTCTTGGGAAAGAATGATCTGGATGTCCATATTGAATAGGAGAAGAATGTTGAAATTGTTTTCAAGTGTCAAACCTTCACTAAGAAGAGGAAAGTAAAGCTAGCAGCTACTGAGTTCAAATGATATGCCATCAACTGGTGGGAGAAGGTATCTACTACAAGAATACGCAGCAGACAACTTCAAATAACTTCTTGGCACAAGATGAAGGAGGTTATGAGAAGGAGTTTTGTCCCGGACCACTACAACCAAGAACTTTACCAACGTTTATGCCGTTGAACCAAGGAAACATAAGTGTGGAAATTACCATCAGAAGATGGATAATCTCATGATAAAAGCTGAGGTTATTGAGTTAGAAGAAGCTAATATGGCTAGGTTTTAGGGAGGTCTAAACTGAGACATCTAGGACCGAATTGAGATGCAAGAATACTACTCAATAGATGAGATGCTTCACAAGGCTACTCTAATTGAATATCAGAACAAGGGAAGATGCCTAGGAAGAATCTAGTTTGGTTCTTCTTCTAAACCCACCTATACAAAGGATGACAAAAGGTTCATTAAGCCTAAGGATGATACTCAACTTTAGAAAGCAGCACCAGACAAGACTCTAGCAAACAGCAACCGATCAAGAAACATCAAGTGTTATAAGTGTAAAGGTCTTTGCCACTATGCTAGTGAGTGCATCAACAGAAAGACTATGCTAGTCTTAGCTGCTGGAGAAATCGTATCTGATGATGAAGAACAGCTGGAAGAAGAAGAGGAAACAGTTACTTGTCACCCGGCGAGTTCTCAACACTCATACCAAACCAGTAGCGCAAGAACATAGTGAAAACTTGTTCCAAACTAGGTGTCTCTTCCAAGACAAAGTATGCAGTCTGATCATAGACGAATGAAGTTGCACCAATGCAGCTAGCGAGATAATGGTCAGGAAGTTAGGGCTACTTTCCCAAGAACACCCACGGCCTTACTCACTCCAAGGGCTAAGTGGAGATGGAGAAGTGTGGGTCACCCAGAAAGTCATTGTTTTGTTCACCACTAGACACATTATCACGTGTGATGTAGTGCCTATGGAAGCCAACCACATTCTACATGGACGGCCATGACAATATGATAAGAAGGTCATCCACGATGGCTACACCAACATGCATTCATTCGTACATGACAAAAAAAGGTAGTCCTAGTGCCTTTAAAGCCACATAAAGTGCACATAGATCAGCTCCAACTTAAGCAAATGAGAGAAGCAGAACAAGCAACTAGAGCTAAGGCCACCAATCCGGAGGTTAAGGTAAAAGGTTTAAGTCTCCTTGCTACATCCTCTGACCTTAAACAAGCTATATTCGATCAAAAAACTTTGGTATTACTAATATTTAGGGAGTTGTTAACTTCTTCTTCTAACCTTGACCCGGTAACACCAAGGGAAATTGAGAAAATTTTACAGAAGTACCTATACATGCCCAGGAGATAGTCTCGTGAGGTTACCACCCATCAGGGGCACTGAATCTCATATTGACTTCGTCCCAGTTGCTTCCCTTCCCAACCGACCCGCTTATAGAACCAATCCTATAGAAACCAAAGAGCTTCAGATGCAAGTGGATGAGCTCTTAAAAAAGGGTCAAATTAAGGAAAGCATGAGACCTTGTGTTGTTCCCGTCTTGTTGGTACCTAAGAAGAATGGGAGTTGGCAAATGTGTGTAGATATTCGATCAATCAACAACATCACCGTGAAATATCGCATCCAATCCCTTGTTTTGACGACATGTTGGACAAACTGTATGGCTCCTGCATCTTCTCTAAGATAGATTTGAAGAGTGGGTATCATCAAATCAGAATGAACGAAGGAGATTAGTGGAAGACTGCATTCAAGATTAAGCATGGGTTACGAATGGCTGAGTGTTAAAGGTGCTCATAACATTTTACTACTGAAGAGAATGGGGTTGGAGGAGGAAGTACAACATCTAGCTACTTGTAGAGTCACTATGTTATGAGCTAATGAGAGAATGAGATTGGAGGAGTAAGTACAACATCTAACTATTTGTAGAATCCACTATAAAATATTTAACTGAAACTAGAATTTTTTGGATAACAAACAAACTTCAAAAGAAAAAAAAAAGATATATGTTGCATAAAGATGATGAAATAGATGCACATACTACTTTATTAGTGTTTTCCTGTCATATGATAGCTACAGTGAGAATTTGCGAATCAAATCATTCATGACAATCTATTTTGATTTTGAAATCTATATCCTTAATTCTAAAACGTGTATGATTGATTTTAAAATCAATGGATTTGTAAAAACTTTCTAAATCCATAATAATACAAGAATAAATAATTCTCACTTACTCTATTTTTTGGAATTTATTTTTCTTTGCAAAGTGATTCTTTACTTTTTTATAAGTTTTATTTTTTTACCTAAATAGAATTATATGCTACAATTTTTTACATTTAAATATTGTAAAATTAATTATTAAATTAGGTTAAACTTTAAAGTAGGTATAACTTATATTTAATTAGAAAATTTAGAAAAAGTGATCATTAATAAATTAATAGTACATAAGCAATAACAAAAATATTAAAGACTCAAACTTATGATATAATATCGTAGGTATCTAATATTTTCCTACAACATTAAATTACTGAATTTTTGAAGTGGACATTTCCGTTTTCTATATAATACAATAGTTTTGTCCTTTTCTACAACATAAAAGTGAAAAAAATATGAGGGTGCAAATTAAACATTTTAAAGTTATAGATAAAAAAACTAACTTAATAAATAAGTGGAGAAAAAATATAGTAAATATGATTTTTAGAAAAAAATTAGAGGTAACCATTGGAGTAAAATATTTCTTTAATTTAGAGTAAAAAATAGAGGTAACCATTGTAGATAGTCTGATGGCATGGATTTAATCCCATTATTCATAATTTTATTTTTCATTTAAAAAAAAAGGAATATTCTTTTGTTTATTTTTATTTTTTACGACAAAATATTATGTTATTTTTTTTTTATTGCTTTAGTTTCCGTCAACAATATTTGTTCTAGTATGGCCCATAAACCTAGCCCGGAATGCAACATGGGTTTACACGCAAATATAAAATGAAATCTCTAAGAAAATAAAATAGGCCGAAAATTTAGAAGTTTAAGATAAGTACGATTATTATTCCTCTACACCGACTTCATCCTACATTCAGAAATATAATAGCACAACTAGAACTGATTCACTAAACAATACACGTGGAGAACTCTGGATGCAGGAGTACACACTAGCAGATTACACCTGTATGCCGCTGATAATTCATTTGGCCATAAAAAGAGCTTTAAAAGAAAATGAGACATTCTTAGGACCTTCGTATATATATACACCTCTTAAACCCTATTCTTTGGCCTCTCTGCCTCTCTCTCAGTTTACCAAAACCCTAGTTTTGAAGGTTTACTCCCCAGGTACCGATCTACTCCATTTCCGCGTCGATCTTCTTATTCATTCGCCTTATAATGCTTTTGATTTTTGTCTTTCATAGTATTCTGAGTCCGTACTCTGTTTCGATTCGTCTTTACTGGATCTGGACCTTTATATACTCTCTGTTTAAGGTTAATCTTGATCTGCAAGGTTTAGGATCTTGTTTTTCTCGTTCTGGACTAGGTTTTGTGATTGATTTAGGGTTCTTGTTATTTATTGTTTCGTTACTATTGATTTGATTTGGGTTTATTGGTAATAATTTGTGTAGAAATGGCTTTCTGCAAAAGTCTCGGTGGTCTATTGAGGCAAGGTGGAGTTTCTCAGACCGGTAATGTTCCCGTTCAGTCTATGCTCGGTTCTCTCCGGTACATGTCTACCAAGCTTTTTGTCGGTGGTAATTATTTGGTCTTTGTGATAATTAAGATTTAAATATTTCCTTATTTTGTAAAATTGGTTTGACTTGTGTGGTATTGATTGGTTCAGGTCTCTCATGGGGAACCGATGACCAGTCATTGAGGGAGGCTTTCTCCAACTTCGGTGAAGTGATTGATTGTAAGTAATGGTTCAACGTTGAAGATTATTTGTTGCATTGTGTGAGATTTTATTTATATTTTATCGTTGTTGTGCAGCTAAGGTCATTGTTGATAGAGAAACCGGAAGGTCAAGGGGGTTTGGATTTGTCAATTTCTCTGATGAGAGTGCAGCTAATGCTGCCATTTCTGAGATGGACGGAAAGGTTTGTATTAGAATGATCAGTTAATAGTCATTCTATAATGGTTATTATTTGTGTATTTTCATGGTTTAATGGTTTTGGCTTTTTGTATTTTCAGGAACTGAATGGACGGAACATCCGAGTGAATGTTGCTAACGATAGACCAAGTGCGCCACGGGCTTATGGAGGAGGCGGTGGCTATGGAGGTGGTGGTGGTGGCTACGGAGGAGGAGGTGGCTATGGAGGAGGTGGTGATGGAGGCGGTTACTAAACAGAGGAGCTTCTTGTGAAGAAGAGTTGGTGGTTTCCGTTTAATTGTTGTTTTTAAAAATTGAATCCTGTGGTAGTACAAATCCTGAATGTGATTTGTTGAACTCTATTCCGTTTTCTCAGTTTGTGTTAGCTTCACATATTTGCATTTTTATTGTTTAAAAAAAAAAGAGAACGTTAGTCCTGCAAGTTTTCAAATAATTAAGTTTGTGATTTTTAGAATCTGCAGAACCCTTTTTCATAAAAATCTTAGAAAATTATTAAAAACTCTGTCCCATTCTGCTAGTGTTCTTGGATAGTTTCCTAGTCTCATTTGTGATAGGAAACAATGATCATGCTTCTAATCAAGTTGACAAGACTGCTTTTAACTTCCTAATTCACTCCAAGAGGGAATTGATTCGTCACCCAGATTAGGAACTGATAGAAAAGAAGAAAAGCTATTATAGTAGCAGATGACGAAACCATCACAGTCGATTTTGGTAATGAATTGTCACCTGCATTGCATTTGAGGGAGGAAATTAATCAGAGGCAATTCCAGTTGAAAAGAAGTGTGAAGTTTTTGCTTAGATTACGACCTAGATTTATACTATTCTTGGATCTATGAACACATGCAAGATAGCAATTTGTTCACTCGATGTTCACCTTATTTCTAGATGCGAAGAAGAGCTATTCTGTGACACCCAAAACTCAAGCCGAAATTTTCCCCAAAACTTGTCAGAACAAATTTAAATGAAGAAAATTTACAACTTAATATATTAGATACAATATATGTACAGAAATAATATATAAGGCCGTAATTAATCATTATTCTTCTGTTCCCATTAATTATTCCTCTGTTCTCTCTCTCCATATTCATTAGTACATCTAATATTTCATTATCTTGTTTATCAACATGATGAATCTACACAATTCGATGTATAAAACATATATATGAGATATGACTAAAGTTTATCTTTTATGCTTTTATTTTAAGTAGTTTTCGTTTGCTAACAGTTTTGTTGTCATTTGCATAAAGTAAATACAATAATCTACTATTTATTGTTGATCTTGCAAATTATACATCTCAAACCAAATATTATATATGTAACACAATATTAGTTTCCAACACATAACTGGAAAATAAATGTTAGTCGGATAAAAGTTTCTAAACTCAATTGCGTTACTTTGAGTGAACCAACAAAAATCACATTATCTACTCAAATAATTTTTAAGTTGAAATCTATAGTGATAACCTATTACTGATGAAAAAAAAAACTAACAATATCGATTTCCGGACAACAAGTATACATTACTTAGCATATTAGATATGAACAATTTGATTAGTAATATATCATTCGAATTTAAAATAATATTAGCCGTCAAATATATATGTTAACTGGATATTATTTCTTTTATTCTCTCTAATGATTGTCATGATTTATTGTTTAGGATTAACATTACTCTACGATTATGTTTTATAATTCGATGTTTAAAGTTTATACTCTGGATATAGAGTTAAAATTCATCCTTTGGAGTATCTTTGGATTTATGGTTATATATTTATTTTGGGTATAATGTTTATCATGTGGTTGGGTTTATAGTTTATCCTTTGGGTTTAGGATTTATCTTTTGGATATATAGAAAAACCCAAAAGAAAATTTAGGATAATTTGTTGCATTATGATTTAATTCATTTACAAATAATATTAAAATTAGTTGTTCTTATTGATTCTTATCCAACTAACAACTATTTCAATTGCATGTTAGAAAGCTAATATTATATTTAACCGTATTGATTTTTACACTATAAATTTTAAACTCTAAACGATAACTCAACAAGTAAAATTAAATCCGAAGTTTGAACTCTTAACTTTAAACCTAAATGATAAACTCTAAACTTTAACCTTAAACCCTAAATCCAAAGAAAAAATATACGTAAACCCATTGATAAAATCTAAACTCAAACCCATAAGATAAACACTAACACCTATACCTCAAATCTAAAGGGTAATTCTAAACTCAAATGATAAACCTTAAAGCTTAAACCAAAATATTACCAGTTACCTGGATATTATTATTGTTTGGTGGTTTTTCTATCACTGGTCGGGTATAATTATAGATCCCAACCCAAAGATTATACATGTAACACAATATTAGCTCCCCAACATATAATTGAAAATGCATGGTAGCCGATTAAACGTTTCTAAACCCAACTGCGTTACATGTATTATTCGCCTTGAGTGAACAGCAAACATCACATTATCTTCTCATGAATCTTTGGGTTGAGATATATAGAGATAACCTATCACTGATCAAAAAACAAATTAATAATATTGACATCCAGATATCAATTATACATTACTTAACATATTGGATATAAACAATCTGGTTAATGAAATGTATGTGTTATCTCATTCAAATTTTAAGCAGTATTAGCTGTCCAATATATATGCTGACTGGATATCATTTATTTGATCCTTTAGCGATTGTCGTGGTTTATTGTGTTAGGATTTATGTTACTTTAAATTATATTTTACAATTTTATATTTAAATTTTATCCTTTTGATATATGGTTAAAGTTTATCCTTTGGAATATATTTTATATATGGGTTTAGGGCTTATCTGTTAGGTTTAGTGTTTATCATATGGATTTTGGTTTAGGGTTTATCCTTTGAGTTTATGTTTATCCTTTGGGTTTAGAGTTTATCAATGGGTTTAGAGTTTATCCTTTAGATATATGACAAAACCAAGAAGAAAACTTAAGATAACTTGTTGCATTATGAGTTAACCGCCATTTACAACAAATATGAAAATTAGTTGTTCTTATAAAACCTTATCCATCTAACAACCATTTCAATTGCATGTTAGAGATCTAATATTATGTTTAATCATATTTTTACCTCACACTATAAAAACTTAAGCTCTAAACGCTAAATCCAAAGAATAAAGTTAAATCTTAAATCCAAACTCTTAACTCTAAATCCAAAGTATAAAACTTAAACTCTAACCTTAAACCCTAAACCCAAAGGATAATATTAAATCCAATGATGAAATCTAAACTCGAATGCATAGGATAAATGCAGAAAGTTAAACCTCAAACATAAAAGATAACCCTAAATCCCAAATCCAAATAATACCAGTTATCTATTTATCATTACTGTTAGATGTTTTTCTATCAGTGTTTGGGTATAATTATATACCCCAAACCAAATATAATACATGTAACACAATATTAGCTACCAAACATATAAAAGTGCATGTTGGCCGGTTAAAGGTTTCTAAACCCAAATGTGCTACAAGTATTATTCGCTTCGAGTGAACCAACAAAGATCTCATTATCTGCTCATGAATCTTTGGGTTGAGATATATAATGATATCACTATTACTGATCGGGAAAAAAAACTAACAATATTGATTTCCGGATAACAAGTATATATTAATTAACATATTGGATATAAACAATATGATTAATGAAATGTATGTGTTATATCCTTCAACCTTAAAGCACTATTGACCGTTCGGTTCCAATGAGAACCGTCGATTCATGGCTTTCTCTGTCCGTCGACCGATGGTCATTCAATCATGGCGAGAACTTTTCATGAATTTCCTCATTTTGGTGCCTGATTTTTTCCACCACTTGCCAAAAATCATCACCTATAATAGCATTGATGTGACGCATCTGTCCAGCCTAAATCATATCCTTGATCAAGGTCTCTTGTCGCTTCACAGCCCCACTAGTCTGAACAACTTGATTCTTTAACCTCTTCACATGGGTGCTGAGGGTTTCAAACTTGGTGTTGAAGTTGATATATACAATATTAACCTTCTCAATGAAGTCCACTGTCATCTTCTGTTGTCCCTCTAGAACCTTGTTAATCATGGCTTCAACCTTACTCTTCTGGGTAGCTGGTGGGATGTTCTGGTAGGAGGAAGATCCATAGGTTATTTTGTTGTTGTAGGGTCTCTGCTGTTTTAAACCTTGGTTGTAGTTACCCCTCTGATCGGTGCCATAAGAGTTATTGTAGCCCTGATTCTCATATCTTTGGGATCCATTCCCAATAAAGTTCACATCTTCTTCCTCATCAACAGATCCTATAGTCTCTGCACCTTCTGCAAAGCTAACTTGCCGCTTCAAGAACTTCTGTACATTGTCCAACTTGGATTTTACCTCTTCCATATGCTCGCTGGTCAGTGTAGGAGCAGATTTCTCCCTTTCAGGATCGTTGTTCTTGGTACCGTTGCTACATGCCAAGTTCTCAATAAATATGATAGCTTCTTCTAGGCTTCTAATTCAGAAATTTCCCTCACTACATGTGTCCAAAGTTCACTGGTATGATAAACTAACACCTCTGTAGAAAGTACTGAGAAGTTGCACTTCACTGAATCTATGGTGTGGGGAGTCTCTTTGGTAGGACTTAAATCTGATCCAAGACCTCTTGAACGATTATGTAGGTTTATGTGTGAATGTAGCAATTCTGCTCCAATTCCTCAGCACCATCGTCATAAAAAAAGTTACGCAGAATGAGTTCTCGATGTCATTCCAGGATTTAAGAGTTCCTGGTGGTAGTTTCTTAAGCCAATGTGAAGCTTCTCCGGCAAGTGAGTACACGAAGAGCTTACATAGAAGATATTCCATGGGGACTCCACTGACTTTAATGGCAGCCACAAGATCCTCAAATCTTTCCAAGTGATCCATAGGATGTTCATGTGAGAGGCCTTGATATGGTGTATGTTACACCAATGTGAAGTAGATCAGCTTCAGCTCATAATTGTTCCTCTGGAAAGATGGAACACGAATGACAGATCTGTTGGCGTATAATTGAGCTGGAAGGTTGTAGTCAGCCAATGTTCTACGTTGAGCAGCATGGGCTTCAGCTCCAGCTGAAACTGCAGCAGCTTTTACTTCAGCTACTTATTTCAATGATTACAGCCCCCTGATCATCAACTTTCTGACATGCTATATTTACTCAGATGACCTTTGAAGTCATACAGCTTTCCACTCTCATTTCTAGTTACGACGAGC